AGCCACATCTCTCCAGAACGTACCACAAGAAATCGTGGTGAACTCGATCAAAGGCCTTGCTCTGATCGAGTGAAACAAAAATAGCCGGGACATCACGATCAGTAAGGAAGTGGAATAAGTCCCGGAGAAGGACAAGGTTCTGTTGAATACTTCTACCCTGTACCCCACACGTATGAGTGCTGAGGACCAGGGAAGGCATCACAGTACTCAAACGAGCACACAAAACCTTCGCCACAATTTTTGAATCAACGTTCAGGAGAGATATCGGTCTCCAAGAAGAGATGCTGGACGAGTGTTCAGGCTCCTTGCAGAGTAAGGTATTCATCCTTTCCAGCGTACCAGCAGGTAAACGGCCACGTGTCAAGCAGTCATTAAAGACCTTCACGAAGGAAGGGTCAATGACGTGCCACACATGTCGGTAAAACTCAACTGGCAGGCCATCCGGCCCTGGACACTTACCCAAAGGTAAGCTCTGGATGGCAGACCAACAGTCACCCACGGAGAGAGAACGAGACAACTCCTCGTGGAGTGACTGGTCCAGGGTCGGCAAGAACTGGGTGATGTCATCCCAAACACTACGATCAATAGGCGTCGCCAAAAACAACGAGCTAAAATGTGCAAAGCAAGTGTCGAGGATGTTGGTCGTGTCAGAAGACAAACGACCATCCATCGTCAACATGGAGGAGAGGTGTTTACTTCCAGCTCTCTCCCGTGCCCTACACAGGTAAACACGACCCAAGTTTTTGGCTCGCAAGGACTCTGACAGGCAGGTAATGCTAGCAGCCCAGAAGAGCTTTTGATATTCCAAATCTATGTCACCCTGAAGCCTCTCAATGTCTAGCCAGGACCATTGGTCAGTGGGGTTTGCCTGAAGTAAGGCCACTAAGGCTGACTGCTTAGAGCGCAGAATAAGCCTATTGTTGCGAGCCTGATCAATGCCCCTCTGCCTCAGCAAGGAGGCACATATCTGCTTCAGACCCACCCACCAAGACTCACCAACTGTAACAGCAGAGCAGGCTTCCCGGACCAGGGATAGCAGCTGCTCCCCTATCACAGCATCAGCAAGGAGGGAAACATTGAGCCTCCACACTCCAGGACACCTAGATATGGGGGAGAAGTCCTGAAAGGAGGAGAGAAAGGCCCTGTGGTCGGAGACATAGCGTATTGCACTACCGACCTGATAAACTACCACACTGGCTAGGAAGGGTATCAAGCCACCTGAGACATAAAAACGGTCCAGGCGACAAGACACACCCCTACCATGCCAACAACAAGCTCCTTTTCTTCTATAACACTGCTAAGATTATTCTCATGAACATTATTCTCATAACTCAAATTGTGATATTCCACATGCGTTACTTTGCATTTATTATAATTAAAAGTCATCTACCATTTAGTCACTCAACTAACTAAATAATCCAAATCTTTTTGTTAAGTAGCCGCATCTTCCTCACAGCTGGCAACGCCCAAAATCTAAATATCTTCAGCAAATTTAAATAATTGTCACGACCATTCCTTCATTCATGTTATTGATGTAAATTAAAAAGAACAAAGGTCATAACAGTGAACCCTGAGGCACCCCACTTGTGACAGAAATTCAGCATAACTGAACTCAGTATATAACAACCCCTGTTTTCTTCTATCCAGCCAATTTTTTATCAAATGAGCCAACCTATCCTCCACACTTTCAGAGATAACTTTTTTTATCAAACCTTTTATGTGCCACATAGTCAAATGATTTCTAAAAATCCAGATAAACCAAATCTACACAAATATCGTTATCTACATAAGCACAAACCTTTTCAAAAAATGTTAAAACGTTAGTAAGGCAAAATTTTCCCCTTGTGAAACTATGCTGACTATTCAACAAAATTTCAAACTTTGTTAAATTACTTTGCAATGTATCTTTTACCAGACTTTCAAAAACTTTTCTTATCACTGGTGTAAGTCTAATAGGTCTATAATTGAAAAAGGAGTACTATTAGCCAACTTCCAATCTTCTGGAACCAGCCCACTATTCGATGTCTTAGAAAACAATAGTAACAAGTCGTTCATATATCTAATCCTTAACCTCCTTCAAAATACTTGGATAAATACTATATGACTCAGGAGATTTATCATTCTCTAAATTCCCAGTTTTTCTTAACTAGCTTTTAATTAATGTGATCTTCATGTTCAATCTTGTTTCCACCTAGCAACTATTCCCACCACCACGTGCGCTCTCTATACTTGACAAAAAAAAAACAACAACAAAACAAGGAGACCTTGCCATTTTCTCAACTCGAAGTCGTAGATCCAGGTCAAGCACTTAAAAACTATCCGAACTTGAACCTGAAAATAAAGTGTATATTTACTGTGAGCTGAAATGTTGCAGTTTAATTTCTTATTTAAGGCTTATCCTTTTCGCACTGTTTCAAAAGTAAGTTATCACTTTTGCTTATTTTTGTGTGTTATGCCCTGTTTAATTTAAAAGTTATAACTAAATAGTACGCCTAAGAGTTTAACTTGCTGTTTTCACGTGCTTGTGACCTTCGCACCCAATAGTGGTTCATTTTGACTAAGGCAGCAGTTCTAGTACTGGGCAGTATTGGTACTGTTGTACAAATACTATGTGGATAGGCGAAATTTATATATACTAGCATATTAAAAATTGTTAACTTAAAAAGGGGAATAGGGTTCTTCAAAAAATTGCAGAAACAAGATAGGTAGCTTAAGTTAATGTGAAAATTCATTCGCCAAAGAGTAGAAAAAGAAGCTTAAGGTTTGAGACATAGTGTTGACATTATTTCCTCAAGCCACAAATCCCTATTTTGACTCATCTAAATATTATAGCTTTTAGATATGGGGTTAAAATAGGGACTTGTGGCTTGAGGAATGTTGTTTTGTTTTTCTATCACAAGCTGCCCACATATGAAAATATGTACTTTGACTTATTATGAGGTTATTGTATCATTGCTTCATTACTTCTCTTTTTGACATCTATGTCAAATGTTATGAAGCCAAAACAGTATTTTTGTCTTAGTTTATTCCAACTTTGTTGTTAGCCATTTAGAGCACTGGCCTTGTTGAGCAGGGGCAGTGTAGTGTTTAAGCTATATTTGATGGGAAAGGATGTGTCAACTTCTTCAGTCATGGGGTTTTATCCAGGTTTCTTCTCATTTTAAAGACGTGCTGAGGATAATACCACTGATGTTGAGCAAGATTATCAGAAGTTAAATAATTGTCTATTAATCAATATATATATATATATATATATATATATACAAGTTTATATCAATGAACATTGTACTTTTTGTTCAGTTTTGTCCAAAATTCAAGTAAAAGTTTGGAGGTTGTGTTGCAATCAGCTCAGAATTTCAGAAATTACTTGGTCTCAATTATACACTAAGTTAAAAAAGATCAATTGTGTTTCATTATATTGGAGATATATTCTCCTTGAATTTGATAAATAGTGAGAAAAAATAATCATGTGTCATTTGTCTGAAATCACTCACTTGGCATAAAAATATTAAAATGCAAAAATGTACCTGTCTGTGAAGTTTCTTGACCAGAAGCTGATCTCATGTGAATGGTCAGTTATTTAATTCTGTTGTACTGGTGTGGATGGGCATGTATGTTGTCAGTATGACAGTAATAACAGATATATTTGAAATATATGATTGCTGTTAAACTTACATTGTTTTAATTAAACTTAAACATTCCCTATCAGTTTACAGGTATTTAAGCATATGTAAGTTATAAAGATTGCATTGTCATAAACACTGCAGATAGTCATGCTTGTTAGAAACTGCTATATATTATAAATTTTATATTTTGTAACTGGTATTTCAATCAACCTACACTTTTAACTTACAGCTATTGCTAACATGTAGAATTTAAATTATCTTTTGTATTATTACTCTGAACAGAAATTAATTAGCAAAGTGAAAATCATTTTTAGAGTTCAAACAAGTAATAATTTTTCCTTACATGTAAATTAACTATTTCTAATCTGTATTTCAGTGCACAAGCAAAATGCTTGCCAGAACACTTTCATCTGCAGGTGGTATTAAGGTATGTTCTATATATCTCTATAGATGAGACTATATGTGGGACTGTACTTCATATAAAACTGTATGTATAAATTTTAATGTTCATGTTCCAAACATAATTAGTTCTTAGAAGAAAAAAAATGAGCAGTTTTTCTTCTGTCAAAGAAGGAAGCAATTATTATAATAAAATAAATCTAGGTCTTGTAGAGACTTGCTCATTTGAAACTGAATTTGAATCCCTTCTTAGTTGCTAAAACATTCTCTAGTTGTAGCACAGTTAAAAAAAAAAGATGATTTCAATATTTATAATGATAGCTTAGAAAGTGAATAAAAAATTCTAAAATAGTAGTAGACAGATTATTAGTACGTATTTGCTGTTTCATTAAAATTGATATAATTCTTCCATTGCCTAACTAATCATATGATGAGCCATATCATAAGGAAAACAGTATGTTTTGTTTCTGTATAATAAATAACTTTTGTATCACATCAAGAAATGTATGTATGAAAGGAAAAATGGATAGTTTATATAATAATCTAACTTTTAAAACTTTTGTAGACAAGGGTTAAATAGCTTGTATGTTCAAATTAGGAAATAGTTCATACACACAGAAAAAAGATTGTTTTAACATTGCCAAGTTTTAACAAGAATGGTGTTAATTCCAAATATTCAAGTTAATTTTTTGTTTCATGAATGATATAACCAATTTCTACAAATAATGATATTCAGAACAATGTTGAAGGACTTGTGTCTGAATTTACTTAATCCACAAGGTATATATATATGTGTGTGTGTGTGTGTGTGTGCAAAATTATGCATGTATTTGTATATTGATTTCCTGAAAGTTATTCAAACTAATTATAAGATGCAGTTTACCATTTTCACTCATTTTCGTTTTTGTTTGCTGTTTGAATGTTCCTCAGAGTGGAACCTTTGTGTTTCTAAATTATATAATTTACTTTCAATTTACTAATATACTAAAAGGTCACTTATATAATTCCTCTCCCCAGTAATTAGAGTTAAAAAATTTCCCTTCTCAGTTTAGCTGAATAAAATTCTGCTTTGTGTATATGTATGTTTTTATTCTCCTGAAGAAGAATAGTCAACTAATCGAAAGCGCTCGAGTTTTGGGTCTCATTTTGAAAATATTACAACTTTTGTAGGTGATCCTGTATGCTAACTACTTAACCTGGATTTATGTTACATAAAAAAACATAGTCATTCACAAGTATTGCATGAATAATTTAGATGTTAAATCATGGTTGAAAAATAGCAGATGATGTACAGTTGATGAAGATTTAAAAAAATTTTTTTGAATTGAAACATTTGGCAAGGAACATAGTTCTGTTGTATTGGGGTGAAGCGTGTGTTTTAAGTAGAGCCAGATTCAGGTGTATTTTGTTTCTGTACAAGAGTCTTCTAGATAAAATTTGGTTATACTACAAGTTATTCTTCTTAGAAATACTTGATGGTTATGTCTCATTAATATTTACCAATTGTAATATATCCTCTATTTTTATTTGCAATAAACCTAAGGAAAAAAAAATCCAGTCATTTGACCTACTTGAGCATTGGTCAGAGTGAAATTCTCCTTTCTCTATCCTTTTCTTAAACTTAATTTGAAAAACAAAACCTAAGGAAAAAAAATCCAATCATTTGACCTACTTGAGCATTGGTCAGAGTGAAATTCTCCTTTCTCTATCTTTTCTTAAACTTAATTTGAAAAACAAAACCTAAGGAAACAAACTCCAGTCATTTGACCTACTTGAGCATTGGTCAGAGTGAAATTCTCCTTTCTCTATCCTTTTCTTAAACTTAATTTGAAAAACAAAATGTATATGTGAAAATTATTTTTGTAAAAATTTATTTTTACTTTTTGTAATGAGATTTTAATAATATCAAAAATGGGCTGTAAATTGGCATCTCAATGTTTAATTATGTGCAGTGTGTAAATAATATTATTCTAGTAATGTACCTTTTGATAGAATTTCAGTGCCTTCATCAGGCTTATCAGTAGGATGCATATTATATGTTCAGTTTTTGTTTCTAAACAATAGATGGAATTATTACAGAAGCTTTTTATGCCAAGATCTTTTTTGTGTACTGTTGCACTGTATTTTACCATATTTTTCTATTTCTAGGAAGTTTTTGTTGTCTCTGCAGTTCGTACACCCTTGGGAGCCTACAGAGGGTCATTAGGGTCTTTGACTGCTCCTAAGTTAGGAACAATTGCAATTCAAGCAGCTCTGGAGAGAGCAGGTATCTTTCTATTGTCTTTTTCATACTCATTTCTTTCTTTATTTTCAGTTATATAATTTGTTCTTTCAGAGTTACACATTTTACTTGTTATTGATCAAATAACAGAATTAAACAAATTCTTATTTTATGCCTTTGATGTTATAAGAACAATTTAGAACACTTCTACAGTATTGTTTTGATGCTGAAATATTTTATTCTTCCAAATGTGAATTTTGTAACTTTAACATAATGTGTAGTTCCAATAAGAATTATCTATACTGTTAGTAGTTCATGCTTTAAATAATTTGTAGATTCATTAGCCTTTTTGAGACAGGTCACAGGTGAAAGGCCATGCCATCTCGTTTGTTGACTCACATTCAAAATTTTA